CGCATGTCATAAACAGGGCGATTTTCTTCCTTTATTCCTCTTTCGTTGGCGGATGGTCTTAAATTTTTAATGAAACACAAACATATTTTGTAATAGGTTTTATATTCCGCTCCCTTTACTGTTTCCTGCACCTTCGGCTCCACTCGCCCGCACACAATTCGCAATTCATTGTGTTCAGAAAGCGTTTTGAGTGCCCGGGCTGGCGGTGAATATGTACGAGTATTAGCAAACATGGAGCTCCTTCTGGCAGTCGGCATTTGTGGACCCTCTTAAATGCAAATCCCGTGAATTGCTGCCCTGCACCCACCCATAGGCCACCCGCGGCCCACCGTTTATTCACATTCACATTCACATTCACTGGCGGCATATTGGCGATTTGGGTTTTGGGATCAGTTGGTCGCTTTGGGTGCCATTGTTCCGGTTACGTTTGGCCGATTCTGCAAATATGAAAATCGGTTTAAAGTTGGAACATGCTTTTCGAATTAAGTCGACAAACACACCTTCGATGCGGACATAAGCCTTCTTAATGGACTGAAATCCGGAGCATGGCTACCCATCTTTGGCCACGATTTCAAAGTTATCCAAAGGAGGAGTACTTACCCATTAGACACTGGTCATGTCACACGGATGGCATGCAGTGAAAACCCGGAACTTTCACCCAGAGTTACGTGCATAAGAAAGGGGAAAACTTATTTCCACCACACGTCTGGGCTGGCCGGCGAAAAGTGTTGACGTGCCATTGCAACGAATGGGACAGCTTTTTAAATTTATTTATGCACGTGACCCAGTGAAAAGGACGATCCGAAAACTGAATGGCGATATTCAAACGAGGCTAAAACATAATGGCAAGGCAACCGGCCTGACCTTCGGAAAAAGTGGTAAAAAGTGGACGTTTTTGTACATTTTCATTGGGTTGGTCTAGTGCATAATAACAAACTTGCAAGTAGCCTAAGAGGACTTTACAAAAAAGAACTTAAAACTCATTTGGCCACAATAATACCAATCCAACGAAAGTTTATTTTCTTTCCTACTATCTTCAACACTAAAATAGTTCCTATAAGCCCAAGTGACTTCATTGATTTTTGCTTGTACAATACATAATACCAAACTCGCAGGTAGTTTTAAAGGCCATTTAAGTAGGGTCCGAATGGTCAGCGATAAATGACAGCAAATGTACACCTTATAGTGCATAATAATAAAGTTATTATTCTGAAAATTGTTTTCCACCGCCTTCAATATTCAAACACCGCTCATTAAAGCCCACTTTCCGAGTCACTGTTGGTAGTTCGAAAGTTCGCTTTTTCATGGTCTTGCGATGAAAGGAACCGGTCGTAAACTGGTCGCAAGTAGAATTCGGTAGTATACACGCATTGTCGGAGTTGGAAATTTTTATAGCTGAAGCTATAACAATAACATGGTCGAATGAAATGAACTATTGGAGCGTACTGGACTCCCATGACTGACCAGCTAACCGCTTTAAATTCGCGATAAATTCAAAACAGGACATACACTTTGTGTTTTTTTTCGGATAGCATTTTCAAAGTTGGTTGGTTTTTGCCTTTGTTGTTCTCGAAGTTTTGGTTTCTGACCTCGAAAAGTTGTGCAACCTCAATTCTTTTTTTGGCGTTTTTCTGTGCATTATTACACATTTACTTGCATGTTTTCAGTTGCCCTGATTCCACGACTTTTGAAATTGTCTGCCCATGTTCAAAGCTTTCAGCTGGGGTCGCCAGTTGCGCCGTATGCGTGACTTTTCATGGCACGTGATTAACTTGCACACGCTGACCCTTCACCCCTTATTTCACTCCACGCCACACATACATAAATGTTTGTATGTGTGTTTTTGTGTGGGGTCAGCATGCAAATGACCATGGTCCACCGCGTGTTTGCATGTTATAAATACTTTCAGTTTTGTTTATGGCGTTCCGGCTCTCGGACACATTGCCCCCCCAATGTGTGTGTGGCGCCTTTAAATGTGAATTTTACGGTTTTCACCTGCGTCTTTTCATTCGGCTACCAGGTACCTGTTGTTGCCCATAACTGAGATTGCTTACACATTCTGACTCCTAAAGTTCAGTATGCTGCTCAAAAAAGTATGCTACGAAAAGTGCAATGCCTCTAAGCAATTGTGAAGCGAGTGGAAAAGTTTTAATTTGACTTTTATGGGCTTTGTTTTACATAGCTTACAACAATATTTGCTGCAAATTGTTAGTTTATTAAATTAAATTAAATTAAATTTAGATAAAGAAATACTCGGCAATTTAACAACCAAAACTGTTACGCTGTATCGTTTGATCGCGATATTTTTATAATATATTTATGTAATTTGATCTCTTGATTAACATAAGATACGCTCCTCATTTAAGCTGGAATAGCATTCTTAATATAAATATTTGAATTGCTAATTTCGTATCCTAAAGCCCCAAAATCTGTGTCCCAGTGCGAGCCTCGTATAATTAATTCATCAGTCTGTCTAAAACCGAAATACCAATACCAATTCAACAGTTGGATGAACTGTGCAATTCCGTGCTCGATAATGAGTTGACGTTTGATAGCAAAAACAAGCAGCCAGGCATCTGCAAAGCTGGCTAAAGACAAACCACAATTGTCTGAGGACGAAGAGATTCTTTGGTCTGGAACTGGGGGCCAACCAGGCCATTAATGTGCAGCTGCGCCACTTGCAACTGCCACACCGTGGGCTGTAAATTTGCTGGCATTGTCGACGACGCTTACAAATTGCCACCAGGAGCTCCATGTGTGCATGTAAATTAGCTTATTTAAAGTCGATGGCAGCGGCAGTGTCCTTGGGGGGTCTATTGATTGCTGTTTAGTTTAGTGTGCCAATATCGACTCGTTGGCACATGTGGCAAGTGTCAAATGTGTGCTAAATTCAGTTAGTTAGGAGTTCGCTAGTGCCATCAAAGAAGGGGATTGTACATCTCCATCCAATGGTAATTAACATACAAAAAATGGAACACCATTAGTCAATCAGTTTGATCTTTGATAAGTTGTATAGGTTTATTATTTCCGATTTAATTGTCCTGGGGTTTGTTCATGTTCATTGTACAAGTCGTTAAATGGTTGAATAATGGGCAAGGACAAAAAAGCACAGAGTCATGTGCGACTATAAATTCTCGAAAGGAATGTGGTCTGCTGCAACCATTAAATACTCTATATGGAACCTGAAATAGTCCAAGGACTGAATAACGACCATTGAAATGGATTGGCTTGTGTTCATTATTAAAGGCTTACTTTGCTTCTGCTTAAGTGTAAAGAAAGGTATAAAAAGCTAGATTACTGATAGTACTATTAAACTTACTAAAGCAATCATGAACTGTAATGTAACCATAATTTTGCATAGCCCTATGTATTGTCGACTGATATTCAAAACCGTGTTCATAGTTGAATTTTCGTTAAACGAATATCAATACACATGACGTATACGTAATGTACCTGATATATTCTATCATTAATGCGTTATACAAAAGTCCCCAAATACAGTACACAATGCATTTGCTAATGCAAACAAGGGAATGAATTCCGCGATAGGATCTGTTCAGTTATTTGTGGCCTGAAACTTAAACTGGAATGGCTACTCCATTAGAGCTAATCTCCGGTGTACGCCGCATGTTTACTTTTCGTGCACAGAGAAGTGAACGACGGCTGTTCTGATTGTTTTTGGTCGGTGGTTCTGCGGTGTTTGGCTGACTGGTGTGAAAACAGCCACAAAATGGCCGTAAAACAGTAAAACATTACCAAGCAATAATAATAACGAAATCAACCAAAGCTGAGCAAACTCAGCTCATAAAACAAACACAAACACCTCCCACGAGAAGAGTGACAACTCGACTATTCGTTGGGGATTGCAGTTTACCTTTTGGCATCAGTGTCGAGAGGGCAAACACTTAAAACAATCTTTGCTGCTACTGAAATAGAGACCAAATAAAAACGTAAAGTGCGAATGACTCGAAATATATTCTTGGCGAGTGTAATGTCCCTTGAACAAGACACAAACTCTTGGCCAAATTTGTCTCTTGGCTCAGCCAACCCGTTTGGCATTCCTTTCGCAGTCCTAAGTCAACAGTCCCCTTAATTAAGTACGTGATTTGTGGATTGTTGGGCACCGTGCTCGAAACATCTTAATGCAGCTGGGTTGCATCTTGGGATGCCCCACAGGATGCCACAAGGCGCCGATTAGTGTATGCTAATGAGTTCGCCGCGAGGCAAACTCCACTTTGTCGCTAATGTCGCAGGCAACTCATTTGGATGCGAGTACCATTTTATTCCGGCACACAAAGCCCGCTAATTGAATCCCTCTCAGGTTGCTAGGGTACCAGAATCTCATCTTCAGTTCATCTGGTTTCGGGATGCCCATTGTTGGCTGCCATTAAAAGCGAATCGCTGTCGGATGGTTGCATAAATTGAAAGGGGCTGTCTATGCCACAGCTTCTGCTGCTGCTGCTGCTGCTGCCGCTGATGCTCGATTCATAGAAAATTACGTATACGCATTCGCACACATCCTCGCACTGGGAAAACTGCCTCACATCTGGCGTGTGGATGTGGAGGCGACTGTAGATGTGGGTGTATGCTGCCGGTATACTCCTAAATTTATTGCTGCTGTTGGTGCTCCCATTGTCGTTATGGCAGCATTTGTTGCGCTACTCTCAGTCTTCCAATTTGTCGTCGAACAACTTTGACCCGATATACATACATGTTTACGTTACTGCCCGCCTTTGCCTATGATTTTTGGGACAGGAAACTCGTTTAAAAGGGATTTTGGCCTAAATGCTGTTTAGCTCTGGCCTTCAATTTCTAAGTTGAGCCCAAATTTCAATAAAATGAACCCGCAGCCTACATTTTTCACACAGACTGACTGACATATTGGACAGCAGACCCACACATATTGATAATAAATCGATTGGGCATCTAATAGAACGGAGTTCAAAGATTTTACAACTTCAATTATTTAACATTCCTTGACAACACTGCCAGATAGTGGTTTTCAAAAAGCAGGAATACACAGAAAGTCTTTTTTTCAAGACGCCCAAAATGTTGCGCCAGATGCTTAAAAACTATTTGCCGTCTGTTTGGGAACAGCAATTGCGTCTTGTCCAAACTGCCAAGAAAGCGGGCGGTAGCAAAAAGCTGGGTCCCGATAGGCCTCCTGTTTCCAAAGCGCCCAAGGGATATGAGCCCAATTGTAAGACCAAATTTGGTCCACTCAATGATTGCGATCGCGTGTTCCAGAATCTCTATGGACGCCACGACTGGCGGTTGCAGGGAGCCTGTCAACGTGGGGATTGGCATCGCACCGCTGATCTGCTGGAGCAGGGACCGGAATGGATGATGAAGGAGATAAGCAAGTGTGGGCTGCGCGGACGTGGAGGAGCCGGCTTCTATGCCGGACTGAAGTGGGAATTCCTTCGGCAGACCAAGTCCGAGAAGGTGCCCAAAATGCTCATCGTGAACTGTGCAGAAGGAGAACCGGGAACCTGCAAGGACCGCGATATCCTGCGGCATGAACCGCACAAACTGATTGAGGGCATCCTCCTGGTGGGTGTGGCCATGGGATGCGGTAGAGCCATTGTCTACATTCGGAATCGCTTCTACAACGAGGCCTGCAACCTGCACTTTGCCTTGGCGGAGGCCTATCATCATGGTTTGTTGGGCGACAGTGCCTGTGGCACGGACATCAAGTTCGATGTGATGGTCCAGCGCGGAGATCGGTATTTATGTGGCGAGGAAACCGCTTTGATCAACTGCCTTATGGGTAAACTGGGAAGACCACGACGGCGTCCGCCCTTTCTTACAGAAAAGGGCTACTTCGAGCATCCGTGTTTGGTGGTCAATGCTGAGTCCATTGCCGTGGTGCCCACCATTCTGCGTAGGGGTTCCCAGTGGTGGGCAGGATTAGGTCGCAGTTACAACACGGGAACCAAACTCTATTGTATCAGCGGCCAGGTGAATAACCCCTGCACTGTGGAGGAAGAAATGTCTATTCCCCTGAAGGATCTGATAGAAAGACATGCTGGTGGAGTAAAAGGTGGCTGGGACAAACTCGCGGCAGTATTCCCAGGTGGTTTGTCCACACCACTGCTGGATCCATCCACAGCCGGAAAGGTTCTCATGGATTTCGATAGTTTGGCGGATGCAGGCAGTGGTTTCGGGTGTGGAGCGGTCATTGTGATATCCAAGGACTGTGATCCGCTGGCAGTAATGTTGCGGTCAATTCAGTTCTTCGAGAAGCACACTTGCAAACAGTGCACCTATTGTCGGGATGGTGCCATATGGCTGCCGGAGATGTTCGCCCGCTTCGTTAAGGGTCAGACCCATCCTCACGAGATCGATTGGACGCTGGTCATTGCGGACAAGATGAGGAACAGCAAGCCCATTTGCGCACTGGCTTATAGCCAAGTCGCCGTGGCCGAGAGTTTGGTGCGAATGTTTAGTCGGCAGATCGAGGAACGCCTATTGAAGTATGCCAAGGGATCTTGAAGATGTCTTAACTCTGGAAATTTGTATTTATTTGTCGATTTTAGGTTAATTGAAATAAATTCTTAATATCTTGGAATGGCTTAGCTAACCGAAACTAAATAATAATAGGAAAATAATAATAGCTCATAATTTGGTCCTTTTGGGTCTTAGTAAAATGTATTAAAAAATTGTGCCACTTAACCACAGCTTAAGGCCTAAAAGACTTGTGTTCACATATTAATTTTTACGTAATGATATTAGCCAGTTGTAAAATTGAAACGATAAATGGCATTAGTTCTGAAAACCAGTTTAAATATATGCACTTAAGCAGCTGTTGCGAATGCAAAGGGCATCAAAGTCCTTTTGTCCACCGACAGATAGAGATTTAATTAAGATGAATGGTCCCAAAGAAGCTCTGGCTAATGCGGTCAAAAAGAAATAAATCTCTGGCCTTTTGCAGTGGCCAGCATTTGGAAAATGTTTTGGTTGGGACCTCGCAAATCATTGATGGCACACGGCGAACGATGACAGTTTAAACGACTATTCAATCCTCCGGGTTGTCGCAGTCGGAACTACTCGTTAGTTAGCTGTTTGCTCTCGGATTTCAGTTTGCGGCTGATGAGATCCATTATGTAGGTGATGTCCTGGCAATGAAAAAAAAAAAGAAAATCTCTGGGAAATGGGGAAAAAGCGTGGAACATGAAAGGCATGTGAGAGCGTGTGTTGGTGCTGGTGGGTCAAAGTGGCAGAGGACACAATGTTGACATAAACAAACACCAGGGCATTTGTCTGCGCTTGAATGATTGCAGAGACAACAGCAGCAAACACACAAAGATTTAACCCAACACGGGGCTCTGTCCTTGGTCTTCTTAATCGTGTTTGTGGGTCAGCTTACCCTTGCCATTATCCTTTCTCCAATAATCAGGGCTTGCCATATACACACACACATACACACCCACACTTAAACTGCTGGCTAGCTGCTCTTGGCCCCGCTAATTTGTTTGGCTCGGACATCGCTCGAATAAGTGCCACACTTGCCGAGCAGCGAAAGTGTTATTTCTTTCTGTTTGAGCTGGCACATCCTGGGTTCATTTCTCATCGCCGGAGGCAGCAGCCTGCGTCACTCTTATCTCAATTAGGGAGCCATTCATTCAGGCACTCCTGCCACTTGTCGACAATGTCCGCAGAGGTGCCTCAAACCCCAGTTGGCCATGACTGATAGCCCTAAAATTAACACTTACGACCAGTATAGGGTTACACTTTGACGAGAGTATGCCAAGACTAAATAAACAAAACAAACAATGTTACCATATGCTATTATTATACATCAGTGTAATTAGGAGTTTGGTATTAAACAAAATTTGTCAAATAACCCACGTATGAAAAATTGTAATAATCGTAATAGCATTAAAGCCATCAATTTGCCTAGGTAGTATCAAACGTGATTCAGGAAAAAACCTTTTTAATTACAATGCCTTTCAGTTGGTCCGCCTAAAAGTCATTTTGGCGGAAATTCATATGCGTTTTCCCTTCTAAAATAAAAATGGGAAAGCAAGTTAAGAGGCTTAGATTATAAAAGAACTGACGAGAACAACAGAATGTGATGTGGATCCGGGGTGGGGGCACCGTGCACATGGCTCGGCACATGGCTCAACACATGACTCCGGTTCCTGTTCTGGTTCACCCGGAGGCAGGTCCTTTCATCCTTGTCTCCATTCCGTCGCAATCATTTGCGCGTCAGTGGGGGAAAATCTTTAAACAGTGACGCAAATGCGGGCTGGCGTATAAATTTCACACCCAGCACCTCCTCGTCGGACTTGGCAGACTGATTGTGGCACTCAAGTAGAGTCCTCAAGTGGTGGGCCCTCGCACCACATTACGAATGAAAACCGCTGGAAACTTGCCAGTTCGCTCAAGTTTGTTGCAAGTAGTTGCGGTCCTTACTACGCGATTGATATGGACTCAGTCCCGCTGGTTAATCACATTGCCATAGAGTTTGCTGCCACTCTGCGCGCGAAAAGTTAAAGCATCCCGAATAATTCGAAACAAACACGCACACATTGCCTGCCAGGCAATTGCTTATTAAAGTCCAATTATAAGTTTGAGCAATCATTTGGGGGAAAGACTGCAGGACCAACGTGTCCTTGGTACTTGGCTAAAATGTCTTCTGTTCGTGCATAAATTTAATGGCGCGTTATCTGAACTGTGTGCCTAACTGACTGCACAAAAGTTAATCACATGTGGGCGGAAATCGTATTTAGATATTGATTTTGTCGTCAACTAACGTTTTTTTTCTGCGGATTGCTCACCGCATACGGCACTCTGAATTCCGCCCAACCAACGCTGGAGCGGATTATAATGCTCCAGTATAATCTCGAATGAAAGCGAATGTCTTGAATTCCGCAAATTAAGAGCACGCGGCCCAGGACTTTTTCTTCGGCTTTACTTTCGCTTCAGCTTTCGCCGCCTTTCTCGCTTTTCTCGCATTTCCCGCTTTTCTCGGTCTGTCGGGGTGCTCGTGTTATGCCACTTGATTCATGCTTAGCCGGGAATACTTGGCATAACTTTTGCTGTTTCCAGCGCTTATTTTATTTCACTTTCCGGCCGGCCCACTCACGTCCTGTCCAGAACTTTGGCTGCCGTTCTGGCCAGCTCGCATTACTGTAATGAAGCAGGGCTCAAAGCTTGTCGTCCTGTCACTTGAGACGGCATACGGATACGCAGACGGATTCGCAGTCGGAGTCTGGTGAGCCATGTGTCGCCACCCACGCATAGAAAGGTCATGTGGATTATCTCATTCAAACAAAAAGGCCAACCCTTCCAGCTGAAAGGAAAAGAATACTGTGCAAAGTTACAATTATTATTTTATTTTTATAAAAATGTCTCGTTTTCCATTTCTAATTTTATTTTCCTGGCATAGACTTTGGTTGTGTGACTCACGAAAGTAACGCGTTTGTCTTCTGAGCATTGTAACCACTGTGTCGTAGAGTAATTACATGTCAAAGGTGTAATTAAAAAAGCCACCACTTATAATTAAAAGTTGCCAACACTTTAGCTCCGTGGCAGAAGAGCCCCATGCTTTTAAAAGTTGCATATGAAGTTGGAACTTGATTCAGTAATAATGAATTCAACTCTTTCCAGACCATCATCTACATCAACTATTCCGCCCCGCTCCGCCGCCTTCGTCACCTCGAGCCACACATGTTGGGTAAATTCACATCGAACCATGTCCAGGTCTACCACCAGTACTCGCGACCTGTGCCCGTAAAGAAGCCCGTCAAGGTGAGTGAAACAGCCGAGGAACTCGGAACACGGATCTTCGTTATTTTTTTCGTTTTTTCGTCCTGTTGCCGTAAGCAAACACAATTAGCATGCATTAACTGAAAACCCTTTCATTGGCATTCCTTGAAGAGGTTCATAATTGGGTGCAAGGTGAATGTTGAATGGTGAATGGGCAAAATTCCCTTGTATTTATTTTGTTTTTGAATTTTGTGTGTCCTGGCTTGCGTTTTTCATTTGTTTGCGCCGTTTTGTTTACCCATTGCCTGCGCACAAAAGCGGGCTTATTTTTATTGCAATTTTTCGTTTTTTTCCGAGTGTGAGCGCCTCACTCTGGATACATTCAGCATGACACGTGACAAATCCCCCGCAGAACCGACGCACAGCACAAATATCCTTCTGCATGCCTGCACGCCAAAGACAAAGCGAGACTAGCGAAACCATAAATAATTGATATTTCATAATTGTTTTTCTTAACCCCTGCAGGCCAAGAAGCCTCACTCGCAGGCGGAAATCAATTGAAGCGGATACCACCCACCGTCGTCCATAGTCCGCCGTCCACCACAAACCACCCACCACCCACCACCCACCAACCACCCACTCCCCTTTTCAGTTGTTTATGTGTGCGTGTGCGTGCGTCCACTGTGGACGATGTTGAAACAGAAGCGTTTGGCGAAGCAGAAACCCAAAGCGAAACCGGTAAGCAAAAGCGTCGAGTTGGCCCAGATCGAGAATATATATCTTCTCCCTCCTAAACGCCTATCTCTTCAGGTGCTTTTAATTTGTTCTATATATATTTCACCCATCCAATACGATACGTTCCTCTGCTCTTTGCTCTATAATTGCTATTTGACTGACTGCCAAACTGCTTTGTTGTGGAAAACTGAACTATCTCGCTCTATAATTATCTCTTCAGTTTTCCCCCCACCTTTCAAATGGCCTTGTTGGAAACTGTCTAGTGTAGTTTGTAGCCAAACTATTTCGAATTCTTGTTCGTAGTTTTCTTATTGAACTTTTTTGTAGTCATTAGTTGGCCCAACTTTTTGGCCATTTTAAGCATATTGGAAATGTATTTTAAATAGATTGCTTTTTCACCTAGATCTAGACATTGGCTTACTTAATTAGGTCTGTTCCTGTTTTCACTTTTGCCAACATTTTGCAAAAGTGAACTGTATTAGGATTCACTACTTTGCTTTCGATTGTCTATTAGAGGTACTATAGTTTCGGCTATTAAGTAACTATGACAAAAGTTATCGGAATGCTGATTATAAGTACATTTTATTTAATATTATGTAGTGAACTGCTAGAGTATATATAAACTATTGTTAAAGTTTGTACGTAGCTATGTTCTTCATAAGTTGCTTGTGTTACGTTTTTATTTAGAAAATTGCTTAATTCAAAGTGAGGCATATATTTATTTATTTCAAACAGTTGCAAATATCTAACAGGTTATTCTGGCTTGGCAATACTTGAAAGCTATAATACAAAACTAACCATTTAACTGAGTATCTCTTTAGCTTAAAATCTTTAACTTTTACGTTTTGATGGTATACAAAGTTTTGGTGGTAATTATGGAAAACTCTAGAGAAATAACTTCATAACTAATTGGAAAGCCTAAAGTGAAGATCAGAAACAGGCCTTATAAGTGTAGAAAAGTTTCAGTAACCGCCTGAAAGTATGCAACAACTTTGGATGATTGACTCTAGTTTCAGAAGTATCTGTTTGAGCTTCGGTTCGCGTGGATTCATGGTCTTGTTATCAACTAACTACCGTTTGACTACCAGCTGCTTATCGGTGGGCCAGAGTTGGG